ATTGCTACTTCTCCTTCACAGCGGCTAGTGTAGTGCTGCTGTGAGCGGCGTTTCAGATTGTGCAAAACTTATAACTGCCCCACTACAGCTGCCTCAGAATGGGTAACTTCTTTAAAATATGGCAGATAGTTTAAGTTTACCAAGATGTTGAGTGAAAGTTGAACACGTAGCACAACTGGATAAGCATAGGTCCCATAATGGGGACCTTGTCCTCCGTAGCATAAATGCAGTTCAGTGAGCTATCTATGTGGTACTTGAATGCAGCGATTGACGATTTCTGCAATTCATGTCATGTAGGATAAATCAAAAGTTTCCCTTACATGGTAGACGAGAAAAGGAGCCAATGTTTTCCCAGTCTTCTCAAACTAAATGCTGTGCGTCATTGGCCATTACGTAGCTAGTATAAAAGGAGAGGATGCTCCAATCTGTACGCTTTCATTTCACATCCCCTCACTAGCTGCAAACCGTTTTGACTTATTCTTTCACCCCGTTAAGAACTCTGCGAATCAAGAAACTATTGCACAAGTTTTGGCTCGCAGTCCAGTCACATCTCTATTCGCATCGCTCTGGTATGAGGAAGTGGGAATTATGGGCAGGGCAGGGTTGCTTAGAAACTGACGAGCGTTACGAACTGATAGCAACATCTGAAGAAGTCATTCCCAAGCGCATAGAATCCTGGGATGACAATCACTTTTCAGAGGCATTTCGAAAAAAATAGAGATTTAGAATGATGTCCGTCTCCTTTCTAGTCTCCTGATCGTCATGGTCGCTAGCAACACCAGCGCTACCGCCACCGAAAGAAAGGTAACCTACTGAGTTTTTGCTTGCTGTCTCCCAATTTGACAGTCCCTTTTCTATTATCCACTCGGTAATCTTTTACAAGCTTTTGAAAATCATTTTCTATCATCTTTTCTATCATCAATCACGTTTTTCTTTGCAGGACTTGAACGAAACAGTTTTGCAAGCCAGAGCTAGAGGGACTCAAAATGAAACCGAACCTGCTGTCAAAAACCAGAACAAATGCGAGGATCGTCCAGAGTAAGAAAAATTTTATGTGTAGGGTTCATCGAAATAGAACCTAATTTTCCAGATGCCCCGCGCACATTGCAAACGGATTCTGCTATCGTGAGGGTATCACCTATGAACAAAAGAAGACCTACTGCCCTCGGGGATGTCGTTTGTGCGATGAATGAGAATGGCTGCATCAATAAATAATCAATCAAAACTGCTTTTCCGATATTGAAACGGACTCCATTCACAATTTGTTCAATTTTCAAATTTCACCCAATCCGAGCATAACTTGCTCCTTACCTTGCCCACAACCATGCCCTTAAGTCCTCCCCTCTCTCAAATGAAATTGGAAATTTTCTTCGCATTTTAGCCCCTCAAAATTATAATGGCAATTTTCAACTATTCAGATGAATATAAATCCAAAGATGAGGGACAACGAAGCTCACCATTTCGAGGGTTCACACGGACGCTGAATACATGCTAACCCTAAATGGGTTAATGCGGGGAAAGAACTTGAAATTGCAAAAAATGACTAAAAGACTGAACAATATTGAGTGCTACTGATGAACAACAGGACGGATTAAATCCACCTCGACGGGAGTTCTTTTTTACTCTATAGCTCCTTACTGAAAGCTGCTTCCGACTGAAAATGATGCTTTGAGTGAGATCCTTCTGCGTGCACATTACTCCTCAATTTGTTAATTTATGTGCTTTTTTAATTTATATCAGTGCTTTAATTATACCCTGGCGGAAGATTTTCGGCGGTGCCAGCTTTTTTAAGATAGTGAGTCAGTCATACTGTTCATTGAGTAGGTACATTGTAAAGTTGCACCTAAAAACTGCAGTGTTCATGCTCATCCGTTAGAATTCAATCTACGCTTGTACTTGCAGACTCCAACAACTCCACTCATATGCGGAAAATTCTCTTCTGCACTGTAGTTTTGCCTTGCCGCTGTGGCCTGACAGTGTTCATGAAAAAACTTCGAAAGCACTTCTCTCATACAGCAAGAAATCATCATCTCCTTTTTGAGGAAGGAATAACTGCCGAAGCCACTAGAGGAAATTGAAAAGTGGAATAGCTGCAAAACGGGCTTACAACAGCTATTACTGCGGAGGCACGTGCACTAGGAAATCATTGAGGGATTAAGGGGATGAAGGGCAAACAGTATCCCCCAGTAGTTAAAAGGTAATCTATGCGGAGCATGTGAAGACCGCATGACCCATGATGGTCCAACTGGACGAGCATAGAAGAGCATGGGCCAATCCCACTGCACACCCACACGGCGGCTTTTCCAGGCACCGTAGACCTAAGTATGGGAAAGAAAACGCCCCATCCTTTGATGTGAGGGTTTTCCAATGGAAGCGCGGAACGCATACCGCATTGACCTTTAAATCACTGTGAAAGAGGAGGTGCGTGATCTCTTACGACTGGTTGAGTAATAACACTCAGTCGCCTCAGGACTAGAGCTGTGTCCATTTTTCTTTCAAGTAAGTTCCCCCCGCCGACAGCTTCACTCCTCCATTTCCCCAACATTTCCGGCTGTTGGTTTGTTTTGATGTGATCTGTATTGTAAATTATAATTAACCAACTGATTATATGCAGTGATATATTGTAAAATTAAGTTTTTAGGCATTTGGTGCCTAAAAAAGCATGATTTTCACCCAGCTCTGGATAGTGCTCGGTATAACACGGGTAGGCACAGTTAGAATAACATCGTCGTTATATAACGTTACGCAATACTACTTTACAGGGTTTCCCGGCAATCAGTTGAAGGCACAGTTCATGTAGAACATCTCTTCTGAGATTTCTCTCTGTTTTGTCAATCTTTTCTGAAATTTCTCCCTGTGATCCCCAAGTAGCCTTAGGGACGCTCTCTGGTGGAAATGCAGTCAAGATAGGGCCCACAAGGGTTCGAAAACTGGCTCAGCTGACGTACACACCCAAGGCCGACGAGTAAAACTCATGCGTTGTAAAAGCTGTAGAAGTTTCTTCAATCGCATCGGGACCGACACCTTGCACGTAGGCAGCGCATTGCAGCCAGCTGTATACAGTAGTGCGCGCGTTCTAATAGCTCGTTCGTCGATGCAACTTCTATTCAGTTACACAATGTTGGCGATCCTCTGTTTTTGCTTCTTTCTTGAAGTCTTATATTTCTTCAAGTTCGCGGTTTTCTGCTTTTTTGCCTTTTCACACTATTCCAGCCTATCTTCCACGCTCGTCTTCAATCGGATACTTGAAATGGTCGTGAACTGTGCCTTAAATCTAGCGTCTTAACTTCTAATATCACAATGAGGTGAACTAGGCGTAAAATATATCAGCACCTGGATCTACTATTGCTGAAATACAAGAGGAAAAAGGACAATGTTTCTGGGCGTTGACCCAGTCTATTGGATTGTCCGGAAAATAGTTACAATTTCATAGGGGAACTTTTTCATACACTTGTTCTAGAAGCTTTTCGGAAGTTCAAACGTATTCTATTTGATATATTACAGCTATATATTTGCGTGCTTTTGTGGAGAAACTGTGCGAATTTTATTTCCACTTGTATTTTCAAGATCAGTTCGAACAAGGATTGTCACATGGAGCATTTTCGGAACCTTTCACTTTTTACTTCTGTTTCGGCTTGTAGCTTTTTGTTTTTCTTCATATATGTAAGATATAAGGTGACAACATTTCATTACAGAGCACATGTGAACGCTGGTCCATAACTTTTTATTCTAGCAATTCATCACTTCAAGGAGGGCTGATGGTAGGCATGTGTCATGACTCTTCGTCATGATTACGAGGAAACACATGAACACCTTCATCAATCAAACAATACTTCCAGCGAGGCTCCAAAAATGCGGAAACTTTGCTTGTTCCCACACCAAAGTACAAAATTGCTGGAATTTCGTAGGGTCCCATACCAAACATCAAATGCACCGCCCACCGGGGGCAGTATATAAGTCGCTCATTTTTTTGGGTATAAAAGGCCCAGTTAGTGTCAGTCCAGCAGTTCTCGAG